CGTTTCCCAGCTTGCAGGCACCAAATGGTCTCAAAGACGACGTATTTGCACCGATAATCCGCGACCGACGGAGGTAAAGCGCTGCGAGGTGGCGGAACGCCGTCGTCGAGGCGACGGTCTGTGGACACGTATTTACACACACATTTCCCACTAATGAGCCCAAAACATTAACCTTCCACCAACATAACTGTGCTTCTGTGGTCGCTTCGGTTTACCTGCGGTCACTCTGGCCGGTGGAGGCACAGCACATGAATGATACGTCCCCGTGGACACTAATTATTCATGAGGAGAAGATCTGGAGACACTCAACTCAGTCGTCAATATTGTATCAGTCTTAAGCCTCGCCATGATAGCTCCTTTGTCCTACAACAAATAATAAAGGCAAACAGACTAAATATGACTGCTGGCCTTTTATTTTAAGTACTGCCCATGTTCGTGATGCTGCATAAAATTTGTGAATTATACAAAAACAGTATTATTAGATGATATTTTGATGAGTAGTTTATAATTAATATTCTCTTTTAATATTCACAAATAGAATATGCTTGGTCGTACAAAAGGAATTCAACATTGGTTACACGTATACCGGGATTTACTATATTACATGTACATGTACATGATAGTGATTTTGGTCCAGTTTGCCAATAACAGTTATGATACAGGCTTTCTTTTCATGGTGCCTCCTAGATTTCAAATTCTAAAGATTGGATTACAAAAGAAGAATAGTTGTGGCATTAAAAAGCCAGCTGGAGTTTAGCATTTCACTTCAGTATAGGTCTTGAAGTAGAACCAAATGTCAGCATTTTATAGCTTTGTCAGTTGCTGGACTAAAGTCTAAAGGCTCTTGGGATGGCTTTACTTCACCATCTAATTACATAATGATTTATTTATTCATTTATTTCATCATAATATATAATAAGTGTCAACCTGGGCTCTTAGTGGACCTGATGTACAGCTGCCAATCAGGGCCACTTTCAAGAAAGTAAACAACTGATCATGAGCAATCAGTGAGTCCATAGGCTGAACAAACATGGGATTATCCCATCCATTTTTAATCTAAGAAAATATAAGCTCAGTGTATCCAGATCAAGTGGCTTAGGCTGTTGATGTTTTTACAGGATCATCTTGGCGAAAAATGTCATGAAAACATTTGCAAATACTTTCATCAATTCATCATTATAAATTCTTCACTATGCAACCATGTCTTTTTCTCAGTAATATTATTTCGGTGTCACTGCCCTGACGAAGAAAGCAGAACAGTACACTGTATGATTATGAACACTTTCTCATTGTGGTATTGTGCCATAATGTTCACACCACGGATGCTTTCTGAAATAAGGCCATGTTGATTTGATTATATGGATGACATCCTCTGGGAACCCCAAAACTGATGCGCGCGTGCGAATAAAAAAAAAAGTTTTGCAAAAAAAAAGTTGCTTTCACCATGAAGGTTGAACAAATGGCACAGAATATGTTATGGCGAATAATCTACTCTTCAAATTCATTTCTTTACATTTTTGTCTTTTTTCCTTTGATTTTGGAATTCTACGACATTGGTATCGTTTCTAAATGTTTTCCTTGCAACTTATGGTATATTTTATACTTTTTTTTTTTGGAAATGGCCGAAAATTCATGCGCGCGCGGATGTCATCCATATAATCAAATCAACATGGCCTAATACACAATTGCAGAGCATTGGCTAAATCACTGACAGAGAAAAATATGTCATTGTGTACCAAAGAAACTATGTATGATTGGTCTATGAAAACTCTGACAATCTTTAATCAGTCCAATGTGGTGTCGGGTGGCGTAATGGTAGAGCGTTCGACTATGAAGAGGGGAGACCTGGGTTCGATTCCGAGTCGTACCCGCTACATGTCTGGACATGCACCCCGACGTTGTGCCCTTGGGAAAGGCGCTTTACACAACTTTCCTCACTCCACCCAGGTGTAAATGGGTACCTAACTTCGGTTGGGGAAAGTCGTATTGAGGTCACCTTGTGGTGCAGAATTGCAGCTGCATAGACCCTTGCGACAGTTTCACAAAAAATTGTGGAGCAAATAATGTGTATCATGTGTATTATTTGATTGTTTGTGTTTATTGATTATGATATGGTACCCTGCATCAATTCAGCCGTATAAAGGTACTGTTTGGCCAATAAAACCATTTTAAAAGCTAATGTTACACACTGTACATGTATATAGTGACCTAGAAATACTGGGTCATTTGTGACATCCAAGATGTGTAGTGAGGCGTCCGTCCGGGGAGAGTTGTAGCAGGTCCTGATCAATAAAACATGCAGGGTGGGAGTTAAAGATGACCCTGGAGATGCTGCGGTGGGACCCGGGCTGCCTGACACTGGCACCAGATGATTGCAGGTGTAGGACTGGCGGAGACACCAACACAATATCCACTCGGATTAGTGTGGGACAGTCCAGGCCTTACCATTATCACAGATAGCAGCACCTAATGACTGGTTTCTCATAAAACGCACTACCAAAACACTATTGTACATTCACTTCTTAATTGGATATAACTGTACACTTGGTGCCTTGCTAATGTAGCCTTGGACGTAATTTGGATATTACAGTAATTGTATGGTAGCTGTCTTGCTTGGCTTTTATTTTGGCATACTAGTATGATTGTATACTATTCTGACTGAGTGAGGTGGATATCACTGAATGACATGTTTTCTAGATGTGAGAAACATGAATCTTTTTTGTTGTAAGATTCAAACATATTCTTGAACTAGAAAGGCCGACATTTGCTTGGGAGCAAATACAGCATATTTCAGTCCATCTCCCTCCCATGCAAAAGTGGACTATTCCAAACTTAATTAATTATTACCCCAGTGCAAAACTGGCAAAGGTTCTCAAATAAATGAATTAAATAGTAGCTATATGAGAACAAAGATGCAACAACAAGTACTTTGAATCTCGAAAGCTTTACTAATCTTATTACAGGTATGCAAAAACTAACAATGATGAGATTTGATACATTTTGAAGGTCTTAGGCACATAAAATTGAATGTGTGTGTCATTACGCACCACTTAGGTGCAATGTGACCTCAGGTAACCCGCAATGGAACACGTGTTCCATGGATGGAACCGGCCATTCTTTAGATAGAACATGGAACGGGTACAGCACTTTTGGCCCTTTTTTTGCTGAAAATAGCCATTAAAGTCCCCCAAATGAGTCATTTCGAAGTGGTGTATGCCAGATACATGACTGCTATTCTGTAGACGCATGTTCAAGGTACCCTTATACCGAATTTCAGATCATTTGGTTATAAAACCAGGGCTCGGGATCCAAAAATCCATTTTTTGGCGAAAAATGCCCCAAAAACCTTCATAAAAATTTTTCAAAGGCATGTATCAAAAAAATGAAAAAAACGTCTGGGGGTATTGGCCCACTTTACCTCCATGCCAAATTTCAAGTCATTTGGCTGAATGATGGCGGAGTTGAATCCCTTTGACTGTGTGGCAGGAGAAGAAGGAGGAGGAGGAGAAACATGAGAGAACACAATATATTTCATCCATACCATGGTATGGACTGAAATATAATTATGCTGCTTGGCACTTGAAGATTAATGTACATGAAATAGCTTTCAGAGGTTTTTAACAACAAGTTTATGATAGAAACTGAATCAGTATCAACAATAATGATGCAGAAATCTTGATTTGATAAACATATTATGTCCAGGAGGTTTTATTTTTAGCAGCTTTTAACACAGTTATGTTTCTTATCTTTAATGACCATTTTGGTGGAACAATGATATGCAAATCATCTACCCACCTGGGATAATAAGTTTGGATAAGGCTTGTCCTTGGTGCTAGCTGCTGGTTGTTAACTAACAATGGACAGTACAGTGGGACAATCGTAAACCCATTTTCACACTTAAGAACTATCAAATCAAAAACCATTTATGCTCACATCCACCATCATATTACTGGAGATTAATATGAAAGGAGATTGCATGTGTCAGCGGCCAAGGTTCTATAGGATAATGGCCCATACTTTGTCTCTTCCTATGTGCTCAGTGTTGGAAATACAGGTTGACCAGCCTTCTTTTTCAATCAGATATTGGTTCAGGCAACTAGTTTGCAAATGTATAATGTTGTAAGGTCCAAGAAGCACAAATTTGGTCTGAAATTTCCCACTGAAGTCTACCTTAAACAAAAGTATTAGGTTTTCAATATTTCATCTTTTGACTAGACGAGTCCTTAAGAAAGACAACTTTCCTCACTATACCCAGGTGTAAATCAGCATCTAACTTTGGTTAGGCCACACCAGTTTAATTTGTTGGTTCTCGGATTTGCCTCTTCTTTTTTTCTGATTTGAATTGAAAAAAAAAAGATTCTGGTTCTGAAGCAACTAAAAAATGCTCATATTTTGCCCCCAACAGTTAAGGAAAGTCCTTTTCTTCCTAGTTGTTACAGTTTTTCCATCTATCAATGCAGTGGTTTACTTAAAAGTTCAAAATTCATTGTTTAAATATTTACCCAGCCTTTTATGTTGACTTCATGGTTCCTATCGTAGCATTTGGGGCTATTATAGGATGCCTAGACCTGTTTTTTTTTTTTTTCACCCCGTCGCTTCATAATTTCTGAAAAAATCCAAGAACCAACAAATTAAATTGGTGTGGCCTAAAGTGTGCACCTGCTGGAAGGAGGGGGTTGGGCTTTATTCTAAATTACCATCTAATACCATGCCCAAGACACAAGTGGATTAACAACCTACTGCCCCTATGGCATTAACCTTTTTTTTACCTTTAATCTACTGTAAATCATGAGATGTTTGCTGCATTTTTTTTCAACAGGTTTGGCGATGTCTTCTTAATGCAAAATCTCAACACTGAAGAATATGTGTTTTGTATTTTTATTGTACTATTCTAACAAAATAATTTTAACCATGAACTTCAAACACAGCAAAAATATCCTAAATAAGGAAATACATTTCTAGTGTTGTGACTGCTCTTTTTTTATCCCCCCCCCCCCCAGAACCCACTTGGTATGGACCTGGTGTTGAACTTGACTCAGGATGGGATAAGGCTTATCTTCGACCCCATGGTGCAGAGACTTAAGGTGAGACTTCTGCTCCAGCTAGGAAAATTAATGTTAGGGTTTCCTGTTTCAGTGTCTGAAAAAATTAGGGTTGGTAGTTAGGGCTTTCTTCTTCAGTCGATAGGTAGGGATTTTCTTCTTTTTTAAGTGTTATTTTTAGATTTCGAAAAATTAGATTTCGAAAAATTGCTTCTGAAATTGTAATGTTTTTCTGAAAATGAATGGTACTAGTATTTCGGACCATATGAAAGCTAATAAACAGCCCTTAGATCATGAATATAGGGCAGTGAGTTCACCAGTCAAGGCTGTACCATATAACCCTTCCCCCACGAGACTGAAGAGAAAAATGATGGCATGACTGGGACACATGTCTGTCCCCTGTGTCGTGTGCTCATTTGTAGCTGGGCTCAGGACCATCATTAATTCATAACTTTTGTCTCCACAGATCATAGAGGTATATAACCTTAGCAAAGTCAAGTTGAAATATTGGTAAGTATTTTTCAATGTTCTCCGCTTACGTTAAACTATGGATTTTTCTTTTTGCGATGAGTTATAGATCGTATTGCAATGAGCTGCTTTGTGCATGAATATGTGAGAAATATCATTAAAAAGGAAGAAGCTGGCAGTTTGATCGTAGTTTTCTTGCCCCTGACATACGTCTGTAGTAATCACTCCTTTTCCTGACAGTGGAGTCCACTTCAACTCCCCCCATGTACAGCCCACCATAGAACAGATAGACCAGTCCTTTGGAGCAACCCACCCTGGAGGTGAGTATGTAGTCTGTAGGCTGTCAGGTTTTGGGGATTGCTGAAACAAGCAGTAGTCATTTTGGATGTGGACTTAAAGACCAAATGACACCTAAAAAGTCCATAAAATACATATATATCTGAAGTGTACATACAATATGGTCAAGTTGAAGTTTGTTCTAATCATGATGACTGAGAAATTGTGCTTGTACGGCCTTCTAAAAGTGAATTTTTGGAGACTCTCTAGCAAGCTTCCCAATCGCCCACTTCGGGCATCTCTATTTGCATCTCTGTGTTTTAGTTTTGCATTTCTGTGCTTTTTTCTGAGCTGACATCACTGGGTGACATCAGCTCAGGAAAAAATGTAGACATGCGAAAATAAAATGTACATGTAGAGATGCAAATCGCCTGCCAGGACTGGCTTGTGCTGACTTTTCCAAGGCAGGGCATTAGTATTTCGAAACGTAACAGGAGAACCATGCATATTTATTGTAAATAAACATGCACAGATTTTCCTTTTAGATTACCTTTAAGTCAACTTTTTGATAAAATAATGAGAAGGCATGTTGGCAAATATACAAAAAATTGGAAGAAGTTGGAAGATTGCATGCTATACATTGAATATTTGCAGCAAATATATTATTTTTTTGTACTGTATGTTTGTGGAACTTGGAACTTTCAGTGATCTGGACACTAATTTTGCTTCCTTCCCCTGGACCCCTGCAGTGTACGATGCTGCTCGTCATGTCTTCATGTTGAACTTCAGGGGCCTTTCCTTCTCCTTCCCCATAGAGTCCAAATTTGAGGTGAGGATATACAACTTGGCAAAGGCACACAATGTATCTAGAAAAACTTCTTTTTTTTTTTTGGATTTGCAAGACACTGGGAATTGCAAGGTTACAGAAAGTCTGTGGCGCCCCCCGTCATAGACAGGTTGTAGGTTATAGACGGGTTAGACTGTGTGTGTCCACCCCCGGTATCCCATAGTTTCCACTCTGCCATAGCACCGTCCAGAGTTTAGCCACATGTTTTATCACCTGGCAGTGCTGTAGTTGCCCTTTAACCAAATCCATCCTACAGGAAAGATAAGATCGTGAATTTATACGCCGGCTGTGCGGAATGGTTCCCTTGTATCCCCCGGCCCCATCATTATGGCCATAACTACCAATGTGGTCATCCGACATAAAAGAAAACTACCCTTATCTCCCTTATATATCTTGAACAAATTGGGGGGAGCAGGCGATTGAAATCCGCCCATAGGTCACTGGTGACCTGCTGTTTACAGGGTCAAGTGTTTTCATCGTATGGCCAAAAGGTGAAGCCGTAAAAACAGAGCAGGGAAAAGTGTCGCTTGTCAGCACATTCACAGGCAGTTAGAGTATAGGCAACACGTTACTGTCAGGTCTTTTTTGTCTATTCTGAACACAGAGTAATAAAGAGCCTTTGCTACCACTGTAATAAGAGAATGCTTTTGATTATATTATTCCAGTCATTCTCATTGCAGATACGCTTAAAAGCAGTTACTCAAGCAACTGGATATGATTTTAGAAACGGTCAGACATTTCAGCTTGTATCCACTAGCTTTCGCCAGTGACTGAGGCTCATTGCAGAAGTTAATATTGCTAAAGAAAAATCGTAATGCAAGTCATAGTTGAGTTGATGATCTCAACAGTTGAGCCCACAATTATTGCAGTCACTGTGGTAGAAAATCTTGTAACTGGTTGATTTAAAGAGAAAAACGCAAGGAAATGGATTAGAGCATGTATCAGAGATTTCATGAGGGTGGAGATGATTTAAGACTTACTTCTGGACAAAGCCTGTTGTAGAAGGAACTGTTACTGAATGTTTTAGCAATGGCCTGAGGAAAGTGGAGCTGGGAGTTCTGGCAAAGAGTGCCGCTCCAGGGATGTCGAATTCAGAAGATTCGAGGACGAATCTTAAAAAGAAAAGGGGGAGTAGTGTAATAGTGGGGGGGTTTATAGGTGCTATCAACTGACACGACCGATGGGTCTAGACCTTTTACATGTAGCTGAAGCGTCAGCATGTGGACTGGAGCCCGGGTTTGGTCGTGGGTTTGAACCCCGGCCCGGGACCAGGGGTTTCTATCTGTTTCTACTCGCTTCTCCTGTTTCTTACACCTTGATAGACCGTGCCCAGATGCACCTCTCAGTGGCCAAGGTGATCTTACCGCACCATTGCACATGCCGACTGGTGTTAGGAGACCTTTCTAACCTTACTAATGGCTCCCAGGACCCTCGACGTTACTGGTGTGTGCTGGAAAATGTTGCACAGGAATAAAGATAGATGTGAAAAATAAGGAGGGAACTACTAGAAACAGCAGTTATAGTAGATCATTTGGATACCAAAGCATCTGTATATCATATACTAGTAGGAACACTGTACTATCAGAGCATTAGTTTTATAGTATAGTCATACCTGTCTATGATGACATCTGTATCTGTATAGACAGTATAACCACCCTTCAGCGTAACACACCAGCTTCTCGGGCACGTGGCGCGGCGGCAGCTGGCTATATCACAACCAAACGACTTGTTACACTCCATCTTTGCACATTTAATTGCAGGAGTTGTTTAAAGCTTTCTAGTGATGTTGCCCCAACTGTGCTTGGTGGCAACGAGGTCCACTCTGCGATAGTTATTGGGAAATACGAGTTTTTGAACACCTCAATTCTTTGTTGATAGCTCAGATATTTGAAGGCATGACATGAAGAAAATGGTCACCACAGACAGGATTCTTATGCTCGCAATTGGGTCAATGGAACAATAGTCTAAGTCTGACTCATACATTTGTAACTTTGAGAATCTTACAATTTGAAAGCACAAATAAGCATTGAAAACGCAAGTATTCAAACTTCTTGTTAACTGCCTTATGGGCCAACTTTTTTCATGGTCTTTAACAAACAAACTTGATGCGCAGTTCAATTATTATCTCATGAATAGATTTACATGAAAAACAGACTTGTGCTTTCTTGAATGTAATCATCTTACAAAGCATACTTTAGAATTAGAATCGATGAATACTGACTTACTAAGTTTTTGCTTGATGCTCTGTGGACCAGGTTTGTTGATGGTCACCACCTAGTGTACAGATTGATGCCTTTTTCCTCAGGCCTTCTGGTACCCAGTCTGTCATTGTGGCTAATTTGGAAACCAAGCACCCATCCATAGTGAAGTGATGTGGCATTAGGGGAAGTGTCAGCTCAGTCCAGATTTTATCAGCACAGAAAACCCCATCAACACTACTGCTGTTAGCTTTCATATGGAAAAGGCAAGCAAATGAATTGGAAAGTGTCTTTACATTTCTGAAACAAAGTGTCTTTATATGTACAACATGTACATTTAACCCCCCAAAAGATGCTGCCAAATGAATTGAAAAATGTCTTTACACAGATTCTGAAGCAAAAAAGAAGTTAAATTGGGGCCCAAGACCCCTTATTTGTAGCTTTGTTTTAGAATCTGACACTCTGTCAAATATTTCTGTTGCAAAGAATTAGATTACTGCCCCTTTTTTTCATTAATTCTGTGTCATATTGTCCTTTTATGAGGTAGTGTTGCTGGCTCAACACTTGAGAAATACTCAATGATTTTCCCTGTTTCTTTGCTGGTCCTACGACCATCCAAAGAGACACCTGTTTTTCACTCTCAGAATGACTCAAAATAGTTAGTTATTTATGCCCAGGAGATGTAACCTGTATGATCTTGACTGGCTGTTTATGACAGAATTGGCTGAGTGTGTATTTAGACAGGTGTGGGATAGCGCAGTGTCTGGTGGCCATGTGGGTAGGCCTGTGTCTCATTTTAATGAAGGTGCGACAAAACGTTTATAAGAAAAATGAACACTTTACATGGCTCAGACAATCACAGGAGAGATGAACAGTAATCCTAACTATGTTTTCTTGTAACTTAAATTTGTCCTCCACATTGCTTTTCATAAGGAAGAAGCAAAACATGATATATCATAGAAGATTGATAGAAACTTGAGTAGTAGGTTATAATACACTGAATAATAGTAAATATTTCTCAAACGGAGGTATATTTAATCCTTACCAGACCTATTGGCAGTGTAGAAAATACTAGAAATTGGCCAACATGAGGTAGGTATCTTGCCAGAGGAAAGAACACTATTTTGCTTATTTGAGCTCCCTATTTTGGTCAGTTTCTGCTATTTCAGATACAGCACGGATCAGTCTGGTGGAGACTACTACTAGTAGGTCCACCTCAGGGCAGACTAACAGAGGGGAGATGGTCAATAAAGATAAGGGCTGGTAGCTGACCTTTCAATTGGCCGTCCAGGGTGTAATGAAGTGACGGCCTGCAGCAGTTTTGTGGCCTCCAGGACCACTGGAAAAAAAAATCATGACTTGCAACAATATGGAGATCTTATCTGTGTCACTGTATCTGGGTGATTTGGATCTTTGTTAGGTTGCATTGAACAGTAAAACTTTCTCCCAAACTGTTTGATCTACTTTCAGCGTACTTAAATTCTGACAGAATCTGTAGCCATCAAAGGTCTACTTGTATCCCATTTCTGTTTAGTTGGATTCTGACAGTGTTGTCGCTTATTAAAAGGCTTTCCTTATTGTGAAACACAGCAATAACTCTGCTATATATCCAGATTTTATAGCCCCCCTGGTAGAGGCAATGGTGCTAGCAGATGGGCAGTGTAAGCACCAAAAATCTGATTACGGACATTCTCCCAATTTGATTCCATTATTACACAGTCGCACTTGTGCACAGCTTGAAAGAATTACATTTGATGACGGACACGTACCATGCAAACATCTTTGTATCAGGCGGGGAGTGTCGGGATCTTGCTTTTAGGCGGTGGTGCCGTGATTTACGTATCACGCCCCTGAAACCTGTATTCAGTGTTGCCGATTAACATACAGATAGGGCACATAAAATTGCAAGCTTTACCAGTCAGCCGTTTAATGGACGCTTAAGTGCAGCATTGTCTCAAACAGTTCATCTGGCAAATTTGAGGTTACCCTCTGCGGGAAACCCTCACTAGATGGGCTGGGTGATAGAGAGATTTGAGAGGCCATCTGAGCTTTAGCGGGGAGCAAGACAACTAGGAGAGAAATTACCAAGTTGCTGAGACTTACTTCCACCCCAGCACTGAGGTGAATCAGTCTTCATATATTCAACTAAAAAGGTTGTATAAGGTTAGAAAAGGGGTGCTGACAGGAATGAAGGACTGTCAGTACTTGCACATTTAAGTACTAAGTACCTACATGTAATACCAGCCCAGAAGAGAACAAGAAATAGCCATGCCTTTAAGTACCAGAGTTATCAACCAAGGATTGAGGTGTTCAAGACTTTATTCTTTCCTAGAACTTAGATCGCAGAGTGGAACTCGCTGTCACCAAGTACAGTAGGGGCATTGTCATTAGATACATGTAGCTTTAAACAATGTCTAGAATTAGATGTTCAAGGGTTAGGTGTAACAAGTCGATCAGTGTAATGTAGCCAGCTGCTGCCGCGCCGCATGCCTGCAAAGCTGGTGTGTTACATGTATGCCAAAAGGCGGTAATATACGGGTTATACAGATACAGATACAGTAACTTGGTATAAGTGTTTTTCTCTATTAAACAAATCATTTTCAAATACTACAAGTAGACTATACAGGTCAAGAGCAAGGAACTTGAAGTCTCAGAGAGGAGTGACAGATGTTTTTGGGATATCACAGGAAAGTTTGTGTCCGATATCATTTCAGAATATACTCTTGATTGAATTCTTTTTCTTTTTGTTTCCCCTGTTGTAGCCACACTACACACATGGACTTGGGTCTCTCCAGTTCCCAAATGGAGCCTCCCCAACAGTATCTCAGATGTGCATCTACACGGGAAACTCACTGGCTGATACAAAGTAAGGACTGCTTGATTTTGTTAGTCAACTGTCTTTAACTTTTAGTCCTTTACAACAACAAAAAATTAAGACCTACCAAATTTTTCTGTATGTACATGTAGTCTCCTGTATAGTAAGACTGTACCAGTAGTAAGTAAAACCTCGGTCACAACCCGCCATACATGCTTTTTGTCCGTACGTTTTTTTAGGCCACGTCTGCTACGTTTTTACTGAAATGTAGGGTGACTGGCTGAGGAAGTACGTCACTCGCTCGTGAATCCGTAGACCGGAAAAGTTTTACATGCACTTAAAGTTCTACGGCGTGTCTGGGTGCTCCCAAATTTGTAGGATGCCGTACGGAGGCGGTAGTCACCACTTACGGATTCCCTACGTTTGTCCACGTTTTTGCACGTAGACAGCACACAGATGCACGTAAGGCGGGTTGTGACCGAGGCTTAAGTAGGGTTTGTTTGTATGTACATTTGTAGTATGTGAACTTTCCTAAAAGTTAGCCTCCTCTGTTCCAGAGCCCCTCCCATGCCCCTGTCTTGTTTCCATGGTAACTGTTACCCGGAGACAGTGGAGGTACTGAGAGACCACAACGGTCCAACAGGGCTGAAGGTGCAGCTAGCTATAGAAGGTAGGAGTTTCTTATCCTTCAATTTTCAAACACAAATGATAAATCATTTGCAACCTTGCCACTGCAAGCACTAGCAAGCAACTCAAACTTATGTCACTTCCCCAGCACAAGAGCCATCTACCATTTAAATTTCGTGACCCTAGCATGTCTGGATCATGAGATATCAAAACCGGAAGTTCTGCTGCAGTACCATGACAAGCCGCCAGGTGGCCCCAAATCTAATCGCTTTGAGGTCTTATCAAGACCTACCCACCTACCAAATATCAAGACAATCCATCAAGGCCTTTTTGAGTTATTGTGTTTACAGACACACACATACACAAACGCTTCTGAAAACATAACCTTCTTGGCGAAGGTAAAAATGAATTGATACTAGTAGTAGTAAATACACAAATGAGAAATGTGAAACTTTCTATTGTGCTAAAACTGTAAGAACTTTTTTTTTAAATGCAGATTGGACAAGAAAATAATTGCCTAATGGACTTCAGTTAAAATCTGATCAGAACCAACATTGATGTGAAAAATGTGACAAATTGTACCAAATTCAGGGGGATGCGCTTCTGCTCCCCCCTGCTGTTGTACATTTGTGAAAGAATGAGCAAATAAATAAATAAATGATAACTTGTTGAACTGTGTAGCCGCCATCCTGTTGTCTTGATGTGATGATGTGTATTTTTCAGGAACAGGACCAGGTCATGTATCAGAATTAAGAAGAAAAACTCTAGAAAGACTGGTGATGTTTGGAGACTCTGCACAGGTATGTAACAATATTTTCAACAATGCATACTCCAAAATTCAGTCCCCCTTTGTACTTCCTTTGAACCTCTTAAGGATTAAAGAGGCTAGAAAGGGTTTTGAGGTAAACTTTTGAAAATACTACTTACATTTTCTTCACAACTTCCAAATTCATTGTTCTTACATGCAAACAGATAATTATTGTCTTTTCCTTATTCCAATCTTCAGGAAGTGACCAGTTACCTCGGCTCTCCTAGCAAGGTCTTCTACAAGAGTGAAGATAAGGTAGGTTTTTATATAAAGATAGGCTAATCAGAGAGGGAAGCATCCTCATTCCATCAAAGTGTGAGACTAAAGGTACATCCTGAAGTTAGAATGTAAGACATAAGATTTTTCCAAGTTTAAAGGTACCTGAATGTGTTGAATTTTTGTCGTTGCAGATGAGAATCCATTCCCCCTCTCCCCGGAAACTGGCTCCGTCCAAGTCGTCTGACTACTTCTTTAATTATTTCACACTTGGGCTGGTGAGTGAGAGGCTTTTCTTCATCAAAATTCACCATCACATAAAGTACATTTTGTAAGAGTGGTGTCAGAACAAGTACATTGTGTACAGTACATTTCACCTTTTTGGTTGTTATCCCATATAAAAATATGCAAGTATGTATTACAACAGTACAACAATCAGTATACAGGTGATAAACAACAATAGCATCACCAATGCATTAGGGTTATATTATATAATAAGTACAATATTGTATATATATACATACAAATGTACTATATTATATTATGGGCCATCCTTTAGAGTTGTGTGATCCTGGTATGAGGTTATATTTCTAAAAAGATCTTTTCTGTCTGTCTTATGTCTTATTTTTTCTTTTGGGACTTGTTACTGATTATTTGTTTATCCAGGAAAATGTATATTTCATTCAAGTTTTGTACCATTTTATGACATTTCTTACTTTTTTTCTGTTTCAGGATGTGTTGTTTGATGCAAATACTCATCGAGTCAAGAAATTTATTCTACAGACCAACTTTCCAGGGCATTACAACTTCAACATGTAAGTCACAAGATCCATTAGTGAATACCTGTCTTTTTTGTATTATTATATCATTTTTCTCTCAGCTATCTTGAATCAAATATGCAAATATTTGTAAATATGTTGATATGATGTACATATGTTAGGTCATGACAAATTTGCCACAGAATGTCAACTTGAAATTACTCAATAAATACTCTTTTCTGGCAACCTGTTCCCAGATATAATACCAAGTTCTTTTAAACGTTTTGTGTACAATATTCCTGTTAATTTCATATGTTTGAATATAATGTGCAGCCCTTACATAAGCATCTGATTCATTCCACTGTATGAAAGTCATCACAATGAGGTAACAAATTAAAAGCAAAAAGTGATTTTCTGTTTTCATTTCACAGTTTTGTGAACCTCCTAAAAATTAGAATAGCTGGAAAATGGCAGTTTTCTATATAAGGTTGCCATTACTATGTCAAAAATTCAATAGTATGCTACATTAAGAACACTTAGTTTTATGACAGCTTTTAACTTGGCAATAAAATGTGTAATGGCCTATGTAATCTGAGAAAATTATATCGGTCAATCCTTTTATGAAAATTGCAGAAAAATGCATGTGTGTGTGTCAAATTGCCCTCCCAATATGTACCAGCTTTGCTGCAACTAGGGTGTCATTTTTATGGACACAAAAATTTTGCTGCCTCTGAAATACAAAACACATATTGTCATGCATACTCACGTAGACTTGCCAGTTTATTATAACTGAAGGTGTTAGAATACACGGGCAGTATGGTTTTACAAGGGCTGGACAATTAGTTCAATCAAGGAGGTTCCGTGTCATTTGAGCTGGGAAAGGGTTTTTAATGGGGTGAAGTGGACTGAGTGACTCTGGCAGTATTTATGAGATGTTTGGGGTTATGGGTTATTGTCAAGAGTTTTTTCTTTTTATGAAACTGGTCAAGAAAATGTTCCTTTAGTTATTATCTATAACACAGTTACATATGCTGGTAGGAAAAGGCAAAACACAATTTTGTGTGTTACATGTGCCTTCCAATAAGTTGAAGAATTTTCTTAAAAGTTAGAGGGTTTAAAATGCAAAAAAATCAGTGAAATAAGAACACTGTAAATTCTTCTTTTAATCAGCTGTTTGCAGAGATGTGGAAAATTGTTGATATCATGAAAAGTTGTTTTGGTATGAGTATATGACTTCCCAAAATACTATTTGATGGATTGCAAGATGCCAACTTTGTCTATCAAGGTAACAGAATGGCCAGAATTTTTTGTCCAGCAGCAAAATTCTGTCAAACGACGAGCACAGGGGACACAGCCTGACATAGCCGTGCCTGTAACCTGATTTGTTTCCACCTGAATGCTGGAGTAGGTTTAACCCCGGCCTTTTGCCCCCAGACTAAGGGTTACAACCCTCCTCATCCCCGCACCTCTCGGCCATTAGAGCGGTAATTTATGGTTCCAGCACCGGCCATTCCCTCGGCTGAACACCACCGTTATTCATCGCTTTTTATGAGCTATTAGTTAGACATATCCAGGACCGATGGAATACGGTAATCCATCCATCTAACCTGCATACGGCGGGCTGGTTTTGTGGCCTGGCTGCCGCCGAAGCCAGCTCCACAATTAGCAGGGGGACCCGTCTATTTTTAACCCAGGCTTTAAAAGGTTGGGGCTACGAAACAGTGTAGTGGAAAGCGCCGGGTCGAAGAGATTGATAAAAGCAAGAAATCTGAGGAAGAGTAACGGGATGTACATCCATTATTCATGGGGTTTGCAAGCCCCCGTGGTACACCCGGCCGTCCCAGGGCACACATTTGCTGAACTTTCTGACACTGATGCTCAAATATATGGTATCCCTTTCTCTTTACAGATATTACCGCTGCGACTTCAGGATCCCAATTAAGAAAGGTAGGTGTGTGGATGGGGGGTGGATTGCGTGGTACGGGGACTGCGATAATGGATGGTAAATGGGAGATGAGTGAGGAGGGAGCTTTGGGGATTGTCCGCGATGTGATGGTCACTTTCCTGGACGCGTGGTGGCCGGGAGTACGGTCAGAACCACGACCACAACACCACCGCAGCCATCCCCCCGCGCCGCCCGCCCATCCGTTATCATTCCGCACCCGACCTCCGCGCCGATCCTCGCAAACAGTTTCCTCCCAGTTTTTACGACTTTTTTTAGCACTGTTTGATTTGCAATTATTGCAGGTTTACGGTCAATGTTAGGAAGGCGGTGCATTTGTACCCTCGGAATTGATGGCAGTTTTAAGATGGGATGTATCGCGCCACCGTACAGCGCGATCTGAGGCATTTTATGACGGGCACATAAAGCCATGAGGGAGATTTTCATGGTAGTCATAAACCAGGCTGAATGGAAGGAGCTTGAGAGTGATGTATTCATGTTGTGCTTTAATCAGCTCAAAGTGGGAGTCCTGAATAGTAAATTCTAACTGGGAACTTCAGGACTCACACAGTCTGAGAGTGAAGTTTTCGTAGGAAACTCTGGTCCAGGAGTGCATCTATGAGTGTAAATTAAATAATTGAATGCAGGCAGACAACGATATAATGTGTTTTGAACAATATATACAAAATTGTCTAGTTTCTCAGGTAAATTTTAAGGAGCCTCTTTGCGGTATGTATTTGTGCTTGTTAAACACTTTATGACACTTAACTTGGTGAAACATTAAGAGGAACGGAAAAGAGAGAAGGGTGTAGAAAACTGGTTGTCAGGCCAACGGTCGAATAGATAAAGGGATAGATGAAATGAGAGAGAATCCATCCATTGTCATGAACTGACAATGACATGTTGTAATTATCTGTGTCTCTGTCAGGTTTGAGAACATTATGCCACAACAATTTAATTTGTTGGTTCACGGATTTGCCTCTTCATTTTTTTCTGATTTGCAAAAAAAAAAGATTTTGGTTCTGAATAGAGCTGTGTACCTAAACAAATTTTAGGTACAGGTACAGGTACAGGTACACAGGTTTAGGTACAGGTCCGGACCTGAACCTGTACCTGAACAATTCGACCAATTTATATGCTCTTCTGAACTCCTTCAATAACAAAAAAAACATAAATAAACTTGATAGTTAAGGTTTATTCTTTGTTTATGGCGAATGCTCAGATAAAATATAGGCTATATATATGTTTTTGTTTTCATGAACAAACTGTCCTTACACAGGGACCCATTGTTAACCAGCTATTTACACATTTGAGGTCACAAATAGGCATAAAATTGGTGTGAAATTGTTTAGGTACAGTACCGGTACTGAGGGATTAGGTATTTTGGACCTGTACCTAATCAATTTTACCGGTACAGTATCGGTACTGCGTACCGGTACACAGCTCTAGTTCTGAATCAACTCAAAAATGCTCATATTTTGCCCCAGCAGTGAAGGAATGTCCTTTTCATCCTAGTTGTTACAGTTTTTCCATCTATCAATGCAGTGGTTTGATTAAAAGTTCATAATTAGTTGTTCAAATATTAACCCAGCCTTTTGTGTTGTCTTCATGGCTCCTATCATAGCATTTGGGGCTATCATAGGATGCCTACACCTGTTTTTATTTTTATTTTTTTCGCCCTGTCGCTTCATATATTTTTTCTGAAAAAAATCCGAGAACCAACAAATTGAATTGTTGTGGCCTTACTGGTTGCTATCTGGCATGTGTCCTTGTCCCACAGCCTGCCACCTGCCTGCTACATTAATGTTCAGACATGATGTCTGGCCGTCCTTGGCTGATGTCACATCAAGGGTGTCACATTTCAGCACTTATTCTCCCTCCCCTAGCTCTGGGGAACATGGCATCAACACAGTCCATTACCTCTGTGAAGGAGGTATTGTTTTCAGTGTGACTGTCTGTCTGTTTGGGTTTCTGACCTTTTTTTGGCCAGCACAACTCAAAAAGCTATGGGTAGATTGGGATCTTGTACATATGGGGTTAGGTCTTATTGAGAAGGAGAACCGTAACTGAATGTCAATGTATATTATTGTTTCTCTTAAGGTTTCAAATCTTCCTTGATATTTGATATTATTGTATTTGTAAATTAGCAATAATTTCAGACTTTTTCAAGTTCTGTCAATGCTAATAAAGGTTTCTTATGTCTTAACCAGCAAAATATGTTGACCGACCTATTATTCCAAATAGTGAAAGTTTAAAGAGAAATTTGTTTGTCATGTCATCTGTGTTACCATAAAAGGGACAATGACAGCTTGAACAGTCTAATATACATTAGGATTTGCCAGAAAGTTCCAAGTATAAAGGCTGTGAACTTTGCTTAGTTGAAGACAAACCTCTCCTTGGTGCTGAAAGTATGGTAACTGTTTTTTACGCCCTTACAGTAGTTCACAGGATGTAAGGGACAGCCCTTAGTGATTCTCTATGGTAGACACCCAGAACAACAGGAAACATAGCCTCCATCCCAGGTTTTTCTCCTGTTGGAAATACTGATTTATACATGTGAACAATTACATTTTTTTCCTCTCCAGATTTCAGCTCTGATGTACAGGACGACACCTTTACTATCACACCTTACACAAAGGTGAGTACTCAGGCATACATGTAAGTATGCTCTTCTTCCGTTTTCCTTCTGTCACTGTGCACATTGTACTACTCTAGGCCACACCAATTTAATTTGATGGTTCACGGATTCACCCGCCTCATTTTTTTTGACTTGCCAAAAAAAACCATTTCAGCCTCTAAATTAACTCCAAAATGCTCATACATTTGTATTTTGGTCCCAACAGTTAAAGGAGGTCCCTTCTTTTCAGAGTTACAGTTACAGTTTTTCCATCTATCAATGCAGTGGTTTGATTAAAAGTTTGAAATTTAACATTTGAATTACAAACTAGCCTGGTATGTTGACTTCATGGCTCCTATCATGCCATTTGGGGCTATCATAGGATGCCTTGGTCTGTTTTTTAAATTCTTTTTGAGCCCTGTCAAATCATATTTTTTCTGAAAAAAATCTGAGAACCAAGAAATCAAATTGGTGTGGCCCTAAATATGGTTGGTCAGAATGTGAAAGGTACCACTGCATTCTGTGGCTTTTTGATATTGATGGACAGCAATGTAGCAGCACACATTTTGTTTGCATTTAGAACAGTTCAACAGTCAAACTTAGAAGATTATAAAACTCCCTGTTGTCCAAGTAAGTCACTGTTTGCCACTTGTGTTGGGGTTGTCCAATGCTTGTATGTATATGTAAAAGCACTTTAATGTCAAAATACAATAGGCTGAAATTGCCAACTTTCATTTGGTAAGGCACTCATATAAATGTCTGATGAACAAAATTAGATTAGTATACATGTATTACACAATTAAATATATATACTAGATAGATTGGTATTAGAGAGAAAATTTGACAGCACATAAGTGCCTATCCTCTTCATTTTGATTTATGGTTACTTGGCTCATTCAGATGTCTCATAGCCTATAGAGCTTCACAATTTGTATACAAAGATATCAAAATATTTTGTGAAGAGAATATTAACCCCCTTTTTGCTGATGTAGTCTTTGGAAGTAGATATTTCCATTGTTTATTGGGTTAGACAGGAATTAAGGAAAAGGTTAAATTCTACCTTAGTCATGATAGTAAATTTGATAGTTTTTGACATGAGCTATGGAACAGTTTTTGGAGAGAAATTTGCCTATCTGGGTATTATTAATATTCAGTCAAACCAACTTTTGACTAAGGTCAAACAGATTTGTAGAAGAGATTATGAATGGATGTTGTAATAATGTAGGTATTCTGCTAGCTGGTGAGGGTTAGTTATCCTTCAGTAATCCTGCCCTAATCCTGCCCAGGTGTAAGCCAGCAGTCCCCGGTCCCTACTTCATCCATCAGTCTTTCCACAGGCATTACCTGGTCCTTACAGCCAGCTAATACAGGGCTGGAAATCCTTTTTTCCAGTAACATTAAAATCACCTACTTGAGTTTACCTGCACTGCTCATTTTCTTCACCTTTCAGTCCTTCAGACATGGTTTTAAAATGCTCCTAGTACCACAATTGGTAGATGCTCGCGAACGATTGATTGCACAATTTTGAATCATGACAAATGTTATCTGGTGTATTTGAGGATATTTAGTGTGAAAAATTTAATGCATTTTGGGTTCACTACCAGCCTTATGTTACCCTATATTGTCACAGGCTGGTTCTATCAGGAATCAGTGCAGGTTAGGTGCTGGGAGACAGTTCCAATTTTACCAGAAGTGCATAATTTATGCAGTTGGTATTTCCAGCCCTGTGCTCTAACAGGGCACACTCCCTCATGACACCAGGGACCCGCCCTCACCCCCAGAGGGGTTTTGTTAATAGCTTTCTCACAGCGTTTTACAGCGTCTGTGCTCCCAATGTCAGCAGTGCCGCCACCCCTTGGCCCTGCGCTCCTTTACTAATGTGATCAAGTACTTGATGTTTTATCCCAGTAAATGCAATGCCACATTACAATGTCACCTTGGCTTCTTGTATGTGCCCTACATGTACATGGTAGCACAATTGACATACTTCTTAGAAGCTGTGTATGTTAAGACTTCATTATGTAGTAGTAGCATACTATGTGAGTACTCGTAATTCCTACAAAAGACAAAAGTAACCAGTAATAATAAAATGTCCAGTAGATCTATGATTCTGAATTAGCAGGAATCTAATCTTAACTAAGAAAGTGCTGTAAAAGGATTTTGATAGTGTGTATCTCTTGTTCTGACATATGGTAAAGAAGTAAAAGATTTTGATATAAGATGTACATTGTGTTGCCACAATTTGATAATGATTTATGATTTATTGACATCACAAATCAAAAATCACTCTTTTAAAGTGTCATAATAGTCATATCCACATTCAGTTTGGTAAATAAACACAAAACTGTGAAAGATTTTAATGCAAACAAATCTTAATGTGGTGGTAACTCACAATTAAACCTATAAAGATTTTTAATACAAACAAATCTAAATGTGGTGGTAACTCACAATTAAACCTATAAATATTTTGATACAAACAAATCTAAATGTGGTGGTAACTCACAATTAAACCTAGATAAAGATTATGAAAAGTACCCAAATCGTAGGACAAATTTGGAGTAGTATACAGCTCATTAGGCCTGGGGCCAGGGCGCTGCTGTAGGTAATGTGATATACATTATGATGAAACATGTAGCAAATCTAGGCTGACTCCAAACAGAACATGCAGCTTTAATGGGGGAGACAGGCAGGCATGTGCCCGTCCCCCGGGACTGCAGGGACAAATGCACATGATGTGGTTACGGACCCGGCTGTAATGGCTGTCCTTGGTGTATTTGTACTAATGACGTTATCAAACTGGCAGGGATGGGCTCACAACTTAGCACACTCCGCTAGACATCATCTCCTAGCGAGATCCTGCTCTATTTCAGTGCTTTATGTCTTTTGGAGATGAATCTTTAAAAAGATGAATCTTTTAAAAAAGAGTACAGAATGTTCTAAAAACAGGCACAAAGTCTGTGATAGAGATTGATCCTTACATCTGCTTGGAGATTATCTAAATAAACACATTCATTGAAATTGAGAAATAATCAAAATTACAATCCCTGATACTTTTTTGTACAGGTAAACAATCAGGGACAGACAAAGATTCAAACGTGAAGTTAATTCTTTCCTCAGCGCAAAACTCTGACAGCGTTCTGTCTAGGCAGTCCTGCTGCTAATGCTCAGTGAGAGCTGACATAGATAAAAAAAAGAAGCTTAAAGGAATAAAGAGTAGGGAGTAAAAAGGACCGATAACTCCAGCAATGATGAACTATATAATGCCACTTGTCTAGACATCTAGCCATCCATTTTTCTCCCATTCTAGTATTTGTAGTGTAAGAAAAGTCTTCTTCTCACCCAAATTGCCTTTCTACAGTTTGTAGATGAAAAATACGGAAAAAAACAGACATGCACAAAAAAGAGATATTGTCTAAAGGTGACATGTGCATTTTGAGGCGACCCCCAAGGACAAATCACAAGCTACTCACAAATTAATGATTGATAGATCAATGCCAATGGTGCAGGCAAACGTACATGTCTGACGGCCCTCTCACCAAATGGTCGCATTATCCACTACAATCACTAACCATTAGACATACATATCACTTCAAGAAGTTTCAATTCATCTAATGTATGGCTGATATATAACCATCTTAAACAATTATCAGAAGATCCTTCATTGTCAGTTTGGCAGTATTTTGTCCAATTAGTTTGTAAGGCACCAGTTTTTATCTCGGCCGCCTGAGCGGCCGAGATATTGTGCCCCAAAATAGATACCTTGGATGTTGAAAAAATCTTGATTTCGACCGTGAAAAAATCTTGATTTCGACCGTGAAAACCAATGAAACCAATTACTCTGCATGTATACTTTACTTTGTGGCGTCGACCTACCGGATGATAGTGTCGTTATTCTTATACAACGAAGTTGCTAAAAAAGAGGAAATGCTGTTTACCAAATAACCATTGTTTTATATCATAGTATGCATTTAAGGTTCTAGAATTTCGCTAATAGCTGCTGTAATTGGACCAATAAATCAATGACATAAATTATGTACATTAACCTTCCATATTTGCTTAAGTCGCAAGATGTCGCTTTTGATTGGTGAATAAATCACTGTGACGCACGTAAATATTCACTTGAAATGAGAAATTACCGCCCAACAAAACGGACCATTAGATTCCCAGTGCTGTATTACTCTTTTGTTCTTGTGGTCAACTTGTTTTCTTTGCTTGAATCGCGTAAAAGACCAAGGAAAATACAATGAAATCGGCAATCGCCGAGCCGCGCCGATCTGCCGCCGCCATCTTGGATTTTTTTGGAAAGCTGCAATTTGGCCCAAACCGCTAGAGGGGGCGAATTAAAATGTTTAATATATTCGGTCTGAAGTTTTAGTAGCTCTAGCAGTAGAGGAGAAGTTTGATAATGCATAGAACGGATAAAATAGAATAAAATTAAATGAAATAAAATAAAACAGAGTAAAAAATAAAATGAAAATAAATAAAAAATAAATAAAAATAAAAAATAAAATAAAATGAAAATTATTGTAGTGGTTACATATACTTAACGTTATATTGTATTTAGCAATGATCATTTAGCAAAAAAATTACGGTACTGAAACTCCGGTATTCAGAATCAGGTACAGGTACAGGTCCGGACCTGGACCTGATCCTCTGGACCTGGAAGAGCCGAACAGGTACCCACCCCTATTGCTAGTGGTGTAATATGGCTGTAATGTCGACACTGTTTGTTGAGTACTAGTACAGTATATTTATATTCCTAATCAAAAGTAACAGTGAAAGATTTGCCCATACATTGGTATTGAAATAAAGAGCACATTTTAGTACCGTTCACCTGTCAATTTGGTCATTTTCCGGGGGGTACGTTTATTCCGGAGGGTATGTATATTAGACTTTGAAGATTTGTCCGGGGGGTATGTTTATTCCGGGGGGTATGTTTATTAGGGACATGAGAGTAGTATGCATTAAATGTTATAAAGATTTGGTAATAACTGCTGCAATTGCACCAATAAACCAAGTTTAAAAAATTACGTTTTAATATTACCTTGAGACATCTGAATAAGTCAAGACGAAGGTTATGGAAGTGCACTATATTCCTCGGTCGCAAGATGTCGCTTTTGATTAGTGGCCTGAATGGAATTTCCCATATCGAAGATCCCGGATGTAACGCATGAGGCTGGTAAGGTATTTACTTAGCAAAAATAGCAAAATATCAGGAATTATAAGGGTATTAGGCATAGAGCCATAGGATAAAAATGGAGCTAAAGATACTACGGGCAAGGGCAATCAATTACATTGTGTTTTATTCGTGCTGTTGAACAGATTTAAACAGAGTTACGTTATCGCCAACCTAACAATATGTTAGTGTCATTAAGCTTGATAACGTTTGACAGCTCTGTTATTGTAGCCACTCCATTTTGTGTTGTCTCATGAAGTTATACCAAAATAAAACATTTCACTTTTGACACATGCATCTTTGCTCTTTATTCATCAGTATTGTCCAGACATTACAATTTCAATGAAACATACAGATGAAACATAGTTCCTCTGTAATATACAACATGACACTACTGATTCAAAAAAATGTCTTCCCCATACATAGAGCTGTGTAACCTACTCTAACAGAGAAATTAGCTCCACATACATATCCTAAACTCTTTCCTGTCTCTCAAATCTTCAATCACAAATGAAAATCTGTATCTCTACCTAAACATTTTCCCTCCCAACATCTGCTTCAAGATTAATATTTTTCACTAATTCCATTGAAGCAAATGATAATGGAAGCCAACTTATTACCCTGTTTGGTGTTACAGGTATGAACGTACTAGGTAATACATTCTTTCCTCTCTAGCAGTTACACAAATCTATGTGGACATCCTTCAAGAACACAAAACTACATGGCCAGCGGCCGAGATAAACTTTTTTCAAAAGTCTTGTTTTCCTGTCTTCGGTTTGTGGCAGAAAGCTGTAATGTCAGAAGATGATTCAACAAAGTTCACATTTGTCAATTAGACCAGGTAACAAATTGGTCAAGTCTTAGTTGATTTCTCCAGTAAGGTCCATGACTACTATGGTCAAGTGCAGAGACACGTGTCCAGTTACTCAATGTGGATACTGGACACTGAGCGTTTGATCTTTAAGTGGCCGTGTCCCCTTCCTTTACTGTGTCGTAAACTTGTAATTATTTGTTAAGTCCCTGGTGATCACATTGATGTAGGCTTCCAACACTGAGCTTCAGCTGTGATTTATTCATCCCCAGTGTCTGTATGGTCTCTGAACACGTGTGGAATTTGTGATGGCCATCGTTTCAACTTTGGCATTGTATACATTTAGCCATCTTTCATGATTTTCCACTACACGTATTACTACAGCACTGGAATACTTTGCATGTATAAATGCACTGTGTGGCTCCATGTAACAGTAAGGAATATATTTGAAAAATGTTTGGAGAGAAATTTGGAAAAGTAGCATATGTTATAGAGAAACCCAGTAATTTCATAAATCATCAAGCAAATAAAAGTGGTACATTTGTAATACAACAGTGCCCTCTAGCAGACAAGCCCAAGCTGCAGCTTCCCTTGTTACAACTTCTAACACAAAGCATGGTGATGATCTAACATGGAGCAGTAGCTCCCCCTAGCGGTTAACAACAAAGGTGCAGTGTACCTTTCTTAGTAAAGCCATAATGACTGAAATAGTGAAATTGCCACAACACTTGGGAGGGGACCAAAACTAACATGACAATATTCCAGGCTACTAGTACTATTGAAATCCCTAGCCCAAATCATTTTTGAATTCCATCCCAGTAGGATCACAAATATATGGTAAAACTGACTGGTATTTTCTTCCTGTCATGTGAAGATGTTTTTGGTAACATGTTTAACACGAAAATGTTATTTACAGTGGGACAGTGTGCAGGACTTTCTGTACAAGCCGGTGGAGAAACCAGTCGTTCTGAACCGGGCGTCTACAACCAACACCACCAACCCTTTCGGTTCCACCTTCTGCTACGGTTGCCAGCATATGATCTTTGAGGTGAGGGGAAATTGTTACAAGTTCCAGTTTCATAACTGAGAAAAGGCTGTACGCATAAATTGTTTGCTTTAATGTAGAAAATTGTTACTGAGGCATATGAATTGGGAATTACATGTATTCAGAAGTACAGTAGGCATTAGCATGTGAAGCTGTGAGGGGGTTCCTACATAATCCTGTGCTCTCATTGGTTGATTGACTGTATCCATGGTGACTGTTTCCTAGGTGATGTCCAATAACCACATAGCAGCAGTCACTGTCTACCAGCCCAACAAACCCGGGGTGTGTGATGACCGATGACCTTACCAAGGACCAAACAACAGGAACAATACATGCATCTGTGAAATTAACCTTCTAGTTGCTGAGGAAGTCTTTTGGCATCAAGTTTGTATTAGTTATGGGGTTAGGCAGCAGAGAGAAGGTTAACACAACGTGTGATGTCGTTGAACAGTGCAGAAAGACAAATTTCAACGTTTCTCCAAACAAGAGCATGTTAAACTACTGTACTTATATGTAAAAGATGACAGTTATAGTGCAATTGCAGATTTTACGCCTCTGAAAGGGATGAGCATTTCCCCCTTCATGTACGGATTATGACTCAGTATAATGTCATGTACTAGTATGTCATTCAAGAAATCTTAAACATTAAGACTTTATGCCTGAGCAAAGTGGTGTTACAAAGAAATGTTGCATGGAGACAAGAACTGATCAGAACTTGTGGATGAATTGTACAGAAGAAATTATACTGATCTGGCAAACATGTGCACATGTAGTTATGATATACATATATATACATGTATGTAAACATGAAAAAAGTGTGAGTTTTTCTTCACTGTACTGTGTCAGGAGGAGGTAGTATTTCAGACATTTAGGATCAACCCTTAGGCTTCGTTTGTTCAGTCTTATTTCCTGCCTAGTAGTATGATACATTGGTTATTTTGGATGTTCAAAAAAGGGGCTATGTTATGCAGATTGGAAAAAAATGATTCTCATGTGAAATCGTACAATATGATATGTGAAAACTATAATATACATGACATTTGTACAGTTGTGACAGAGACCAATATTCTCATATAGTAAAAAGTTTATTGCTGTTATTTGAGGTCTTACTCTGATTTCTGAATTTGTATGTCAATATTCAAAGCAAAACTCAACCGCAAGATAACAGAAAAACATTGTCATAAATAAAATGTGTGTTAACATTTAAGAATTGTCCATTTTTACTCCTGATATCTTTTAATGATAATATAAGCATACAATTTTCTGACGGTTCATTCTATATTTAAGCATACAAACAAATGCACCAGTGCATTGGTGATTTAAACTGATTTTCAAACATAACTGATTGCTGTCTGTGAGGAAACTACATGGAGAATGCAATATACATACTATTGTCTTATGTATTAAATACATTGTACTTCAGTAACACTAGTTGTGTGTATTTTAGAGGTGGCAAATGGTCTCATTTTTCCACCAAACTGCGTGAAATCTGGGGCGATTCACAATCATGATTTTGTCAGTCTACTAGCCATACATGTAGAAGAGCGTTTAGCATATCACCAGTGATTTCAATGTCAGAAGCTACTTGATATGCATTTCAATGTACATGGATATGTCTATGTCAAGGTGATTTTGTGTAGAAAGAACTTGTGAGACTCTTCATGCCATAATTATAGCTGTGTGGGTGGGGTGGGGGGGATTGCTGGTCAATCTTCAACATTTGCTGCTACTACATGTTACATGTTAATCAGGAACGTTATAAATAGAACTGAGTACATCCTATTAACTTGATGTGTTAACCCATGTGGTGTTAAAGAGTATTTTCTTGGGTAGGTATGACATAAATAAAATACAACACAGTGTATTCCGCATCACCCTCGGTCCCAGCCCTCCTGTGGATTAGATCTCCCTCCGGCCGTTGGGCGATCCGACCCGCAGTCGGGCTGGTACCTCGAGCGATACAGAATACCCCTTGTTGTATTCTATATGTAGGTGACAGTTTTACTTCTTCTAGTTTCATTCAGGTACTTTATCATATTCCATAGCGAGCTGCAGCTTTTGGTGGGGGAGGAAAGTTGTAACAATCCTGTCTTATTATTGTTCTAGTTGGAAGTGGAAGAGTTAGCTATAATTACATAAGAGCAATTGTACCAGAATTGTATTAGTGAGATGTCATCTGGTCATACCTTGGTATGGATGGTACTCAGGCATATGAAATGAACATTAACGTTGTTACTATAGGGGTGTGTATGATTGCTGTGTTCTTACATGTACATGTAGTTTGTCTGTGATACCAACATGTTCAAAACAAAATCAGCATGAAGACTAGAATATTATTGTATGAAATATGGATGATATTCCTGAGAAACGCAAATGTTACTTCTCTTTCAAGTCATTCTTATTCCCTGTTGGACCAAGTAACTAGATAAACTCTTGTCACAAGTGTCAGTGTCAAGAATAGCAGATTGGAACTAGCTTAGTTTATTGGTACTTATTTTAGTCAGTGTGAATGGATACTGACTAATAGCATGCAAGTTTTTTGTTTGTTGGATGCCTTATTTAAAACTTAGGAAAAGTTCTCTTGGATTAAATAAGTTGTAAGTTAGACCAGTATTTCTTGTGTTATGTTGATATGACAGTAGGGTAAGAGATGTTATGAGATACATGTCTTCATGGAGGGATGTTTAGTTGCTAGGAATATGAACCTTCAAATATGCCAAAGGCGGATGTTGTCTTTTCTTTATGATGAAGAATAAAAATAAATTCATTCCTTCAACCTGCAGTCATTTCTACAGTTTGCGTATCTTTTAAAATAATAAATAATAATAAAACAACATATGATAGCATTGCAGGAATTCATGTCAGAATGTACACTGAGAGTTTTTAAATCAATCCCTCGCTTTTCCATGGGTGTTCTGTTGTGTCAAACAAAACGTCTAGTGCAGTACTACAATACATGGAACTACATGGAACTGATGGTGAGTTCAGCACCAAGGAGAGGTCCGCACTTATTATTAAATGGTCGGGGGGGTCCAAAATTTTGGGTTAATATAAACACCTGCTGTGGCAGAAGGTATCCTGATCGTTGGGTTTTGGCAAGGAAAATTGTGCGGTGAGAATAATTACTTTTGATTGGTGGCTGAATGTTAATGGTTAATTATCAAGAGCAATAATGATTAATCACGTTCGCACCCCTATGTAATGTCACGTGGTACGGTCCGTTCGACCATGGTGCAACAGTGCAACTCAGCTGTGTGACGGACGTTGCGTTGTTGTGCGGTTTGTCTTGGGTGAGTTCTCTCCAACTTTTGGGGTAAATTTTCGACTTTTTGCCCGCAAATTATCCGTCTGAAGTGTACAGCATATCGTCTGAACGTTGCCAGGTCGGATTTATGCCGTTCTTTGGATGTTTGAAGGAGAAAATTCGTGTTTCCTGACAGGGCGAAATTTGGAGAAGAAACGAAAAATTATGGCGACTGCCATGGCGGGAAAGACGGCGTGGTGCTGGGAAGACTGGCGTTCTTGCGAGGTGAGACAACAAACTATCTCCTTGAATGTACATGTTTGTACTTCCAACAAACCTGTAGCAACAGACCACGTTATAATTTGTTATGTTAACCTTTTTATTCCGTAGAAATTTGCGTTTTGTGGAACGCTATTCTTGTACACGTGTTGTGTTAGGTCATATTATTTTTGTACTCGGGTATTTTTGATACGAAGGTTGTTTGGTTTTGGGGAACACTGAATATATTTCTTCCGTATTGAGTGGCATTGAAAACAGCTAGGAGCAAATTTCGCTGCTATTAAAAAAACGTTTTGTTTTGTTGGAAATTTCCAGTTTGGTCAGTGAACACCTTTTGGAATGTACCGCACGTGTGCATAATTAAACCCACTCAACGTTCCCGCCAAAAACGTCGCTTTAATTAAACAAGACTTCCCGAGGCTAAAATTATCTGAGTGATAATGTTACATTATGCACTCCCGAGCATCCAAAAGTAAACCTGTCCACAACTGAAATTTTGCTTATGGCCCCCGATATGCCTCTGTCCTCTTTAATAGCACGGTTTTATTTGGCACATTCGGCTTGAAATCAGTCGTAGATTTAGTTGATAGCTCAGCGTGTAGCTGCGGGTCCCAAAAATTAATGCGAATCCGTTTCTCACTATACTTCACTGCCCAACTTACACTTAGCGTATTCTTCTCCTCGGGCAACTGTCAATTTTCAAGGGTGGTGGGACACATTTTGGACGTAACTTCCCTATCTAATAATTCTTTGGAACATCTTTTACTTTACGGATCACCCTCATGCAGTTTTGAGACTAATTGTAAAATTATGAGCTTTACTTAGTATTTCAGCATCAAAAGTGGTCCTTTTGTATCTGATTAATTTTTTCAACTTCAATTATTCTACTCGTGTCCTATCAGTAATTCTAGGGGATAGGGGTTGGGACTTGCGCTCGTTGAATTCAATTTACTAAACCCCAATTAGTTTGTTTTCACTTTGTATTTTATTTACTTGTCCTTGTAATTACTAGTATCATATCTCTGTTTAATCATTTTGTGTCGATGGCGCCATTGATATACTAGTTCCATGGAACTTGAGCTCAACGCCATCTTGTTTGTAATTATGTTTTTGCTGTTTTAATTTTAAAAAAGTTTAATAATATTCGATTTTGTTAGGACAGGTGTATCATTGCCTTTGTATTTTACTGGATTTTATACTTCATTGACAAAAGGGCGCGGTCCCTTTTGACTTGAAATCTGATTGTCAGTGTACTCCGAGAGACGTTGAATGTACGGACAATCGGACATACTTTATTTTCGTACACGATCGCAACTTAGGGTTTCAAATATTACTGAGTCTGAGGTGGGTTTTATTGCAGTATGTTCGATAAGAGTATGAAACGTATCACAAAAAGATGTTCAATACAATTTATTATTCCTTAGCTTTTCAAATAATCGGTACATATTCATACATCATATCATATAGTACACCGTACATTCATTAATTTAATTTGATAACTTAGTATTGTCAATAAATAACGAAGCCGAAAAGAGTGGACATGCTTCACATAAATAGGGAACATGGTAACTGCTATTCCTCTCTATTACTAATATACTATTCTAGCCAAGTTGTTAGGTTTGACTTCTTCTCAGGAGGCAGTGGGAGATGAATTGTCCGACTCTTTGAAAAATAAGTCGGTTGGGAGACTTAAGCAGTAATATAGTCTTTTGTTGATTGTTGAGATGTAAAAAACTTGGGGAGATATTGCAATTGGAGAATTCTTTGAGTAACTTTTTCTTTCAAAATCATAATGAGGACACTGACAGATAAAATGCATTTCATCTTCCACTGCTCCCTCTGTAAAGTATTTGCAGAATCTTTCACTTAGAGGCAGTTTCTTGTATCACCCTTTCTCTATCTCTAATGTTTGAGCACTTAGTCTCATGATCTTAAAGCTCAACATCAGGGTGATGCAGATAGGTTTCCATACTGTAATCAGATTTAAGTTTTCTATACAATCTTAATTTTCTGCTATTGACAGACAAATTGTGGAGGAAGGTTTGAGTATATATGTCTGTTAGCCTTTTCCTCAGTGATACACGAACAAATCTATAATTGTTTAAATGTAGATTGCTATTTTGCCAAATATACGGGTTACCGCTATTATCAAGTATCTCTTTCATGTGGCATAACCAGTTTTTCTTGTTGCCGTTTACCATATCATGCTGTTGGGGAAAATAGAGCATCCACTTGTAGAGGATGTGTGGAGAAATCTTAGTTGTCTTAGCCGTAACCAGTATTTTACTACCCTATGAGTACCGAGAATGTTTTTACAAAAACGGTTGTGTTTAATGTAATTTTTGTCTGTAGACAGTGGGTATATTCCTCATTCCTTAAGTTTGCAGTGTTTTTTATTGTTTCAATTTTGTCCATTATGCTTAACAAAGATACCGGGTACATGGTGCTTT